ATGACTATTCCCCACAGGGTGGGGATGCTTTCTCACTTTCTGTCTCTCACCTCTCACTGGCGAATTTAGAAAAAATAATAAAAAAAGAAAATTAATTTTTCTTTTAAAGATTTAAGACTTTGGATGCTGCTTAGTTCCCTATCAGCTGCTGTAACAGATTTCTACTGGGTTAGTCTTTTAAAACTCCAGAAATGTAGGGAACAAGCAGTTAGCGTAATGGCTATGTCGCTGGACTCCCACGTAGTCGACTGCGGTTCGCGTCCCGGACCCGGTGACTTAAAACTCACGCCAGGTGCGTGTGCGTGCGTGCCCAAGATCCCGAGAGGAGAATGGAGAAGGGATTGCGGCGTGACCATCCCCCCTGGGGGTGATTTCTCGCTTTCTGTCTCTCTGTCTCTGTCTGTCTGGCGAGAGCACGCGCCCTACAGTGAAAATCTCTCCCCCACCCCCCCCCAAAAAAAAAAAAAAAAACTCCAGAAATGTATTCTCAGAATTCCCGTGGCTTGGGGCCAGCTAGTGGTGGGGTGATTAAGGGAGCTAGATCTTATCTGGTCAAATTCACAATTCCAGTCTAAGATCCAGCAGCCTGGGAAACTCAGCAGGCACATGTATATTAGTACCCAAAGTCCTGAGAGAATCGAGAAGGGATTGCAGGATGACTATCCCCTCTGGGGGAGTGATTTATCAGTCTCTCTCTCTTTCTGTCTCACTTTCTCTCTCTCTTTCCAACAAGTGCATGCATTCTATAGCAGGAAAAAAAAGAAAGAAAAAAAGGAAGGAAGGAAGAGGAAAAAAAAAGAGAATGAAAGAAAGAGACAGAGAGAACTCCTGAGTCTAGAAATTTGAATCGAGTCCTAAGGAGCTGAAATTAGGGTATCAGCAGAGTTGGTTTTCTTCCAGAGGCTCCCTGGGTTGCTCTGTTCTCTGCCTTTTCCAGCTTCTTGGTTGCCACAGGTTTGTTTTGTTATTTCTTTTTTGGTTTTTGGTTTTTAATTACCAACAGGCATGTGCAGTCACCAGAGAGGGGCATAGAGACAGACAGGGAGAAAGAAAAGGCACCCTCCCTGGGGTCTGGTCGTGCCACCCACACCTCTGTTTCTGCATTCTGTCGGGATTTGGGGCACTCACGCACACACACGTGTCTGATGTGTTGGGAATTGTGGTCAGCCATGCGAGATCTGGTTCTCCTACCCTCTAGGCTACAGGGCCAGCTCAGCAACCACAGTTTGGATTTCTGACTGCGTCAGTCCAGCCTCTGCCTCACTCTTCTCTGCCTCTGTTGTCTTCTCTATCCCTTTAGCCAGATCTTTCTGCCTCCCTGTGATAAGACCGCTTGCCATTAAATTTAAGGTCCATTCCAGATAACCCAGAATAATCTCCCATTTCAAGCTTCTTTGATTCAATTGTATCTGCAATATCCCCCTTTTTTCCCCAGGGAAACTAGCATTCACAGGCTGTAGAGATTAGGAGTAGATTCCTTATGAGGTTACTATTCACCCATGGCAGGTAAGAACAGTTATCAGGTGAAGTCCAAGAAGCAAAATACTGGCCCACTGCTTTCAAAACCTTGCAACCACTTATAATCTCAGGATAATATTGACTCCTGTTTCCCTTCACTCTGTTACATGGTAAGCAATTGCAAATGTTTGAATCTTTGCTACTCTCAGAGAAGTGGAAGAGTGTTATTGTATTCTTTATAAAATTTAAAATTATTCAATGAGTAATTTGGTTTTCTGTTTTAAAATCCTATTTATTTGACAGGGCCAGCAGGTGATCTGGAGGTTAAAGCACTGGCTCCCACTTGGCTGACTCTGTGGTTCAAGTCCAGAACCTCATTGAAAATTCCTAAGCATATGTGTATGCATGCCCCAAATCTCATGAGGACAATGGAGGAGAAGGGATTGTGTCATGGCCATCCCCTTCAAGAGGATGATTTCTCACTTTGCCTTTTACTGTATCTCTCTGTCTCTGGAGAGCAACCACACCTTATAGAAAAAAAAAGAAGAAGAAAGAAAAAAAGAGAGAGAGAAAAGTATTTTACATTCTAAGAAATGAAGTATTGCTTTCATTTTCTTGTGTCATTTTAAAAAAAAGTCAGTCTTTAATCTATTTGCAGTTTATAAATGTCTTCATTTCAAGTCAACTTTACTTCAAATTTCCCCTCATCATTTTTAACCATCTCTCATCTTAACTTTATTTTTTATTTTTCTGTTAGCTTTTATTTTGTATCATCTAATATTAATATCCCAAATTTATCTTTGTCTTTAATACATTTGAATGTTATAACCACCTGTTTGCTTTCAAGCTTCCTGGGTCACTTTGACTTATATATTTCTATTACGCAAGTTGAAGCTAGATTATTGTTGCTTTTTTTTTTTCATTTTATAAGTGGGCTTTTCAGATGTACAGTTGACTTAATTCTGTCAACTTATGTTATGTTTTCCTCTAATTAGCATGCTAGTTCCTTATTTTCCCTCCCTCTCTATCTGTGGTTGTTTTTAAAAGTGTGTTTTTAAAAGCAAGTAACTTGCTGTTAGCTCTTCTGGCAAGTATGTTCATTACGGTAAAAAATACGTTTAACACCTTCTTAAACAATTACTGACGAGAGAACAGAAAAGAGTATCCTATCGTTTTTCTGATATGAACATGGGAGAAACTAATGAGCTGAGAAGTTCTCCACCACCTGACCCTGCCGTGTTCCTCCCACCACTTCACGGGGTTCCTCATTAATCTGGCCCATCGGACAGCCATTCTAATTATGTATAGTTGCTTATAATCACGGGATTATTTAGATTGCTTTCCAGATTGAGCAACACCCACATTTCATTCTTCTCATAGACAATGGGCTTAAAGGAATTCTCTTCACTTCTTCAAAGTCAGGTCTGCATTTCCTTCAGGTGGAGAGAAAAAGGGTCACAAAAAGGGAAAAGCTGCCATCTGTTTCAAGGCACAAAGGTGGTGAGACTTGGAATCTGCTGGTGAGTGACTCGAATGTAACTAGAGTGAGGCTCCGGGTCTATGCCGTCTTCCTGGGTTCACGTTCCCCTCAGCACTGCATCCCTTTTCTTCCTCAGTCTGGCTGCTTCTTTTGAAATTGTAAGTTACCACTTAGATTTTTAGAGATTTAGCTCCTCACATCCTCCTCCACACAGTTTCAATTGTATTCTATGTATGGAAATTGACGTATCTACAATACATGGTTTCATTATTATTTTACTTAGAGAGAAAAGTTAAACATCACTTATTTGAGGAAGTCTGATTTGATTTTTTTTCTATTCATCTGTTCTTTGAAAGTTTTAAAGACAGACGTTACTAAGAAGGCCATTGTACATATGCTTCCATTTTTAATTTTCGTAGTGCACTCTGAGTTGAAAGACAATTTCTCAATATTCAAACCACAGTGAAATAAAAATTCAACTTGGAAGGAGACATTTGTCATCACATACCACAACAATACGTTATAAACCTAAGAAGGCTGCATGGATGAAATAAGTTCTACTTTAGCCTGAAGCATGTTTTAGCCTTCCTGTCTTAGATAAGTATCTAAATAAATGCAGAGGTCTTTAAAAAGTAACTAGGTTTACTGCCGTCATTTATTTGATTGATTAAGCCTTTGCATAGTAAAAAATATATAGCAAGTTATTTCCATTCTGCCCATTTAAAAAATGTAAACTTTGGGGACCAGCAGTTAGTGTAATGGCTATGTGGCTGGACTCCCATGTAGCCGACCGCGATTCGAGTCCCAGACCTGGTGGCTTAAACTCATGCCAGGCGTGTGTACGTACGTGCGCAAGATCCTGAGAGGAGAATGGAGGAGAAGGGATTGTGGTGTGGCCATCCCCTTGGGGGGTGATTTGTCTCTTTCTGTATCTCTGTGTCTCTCTGTCTTTCTGACCAGCACACACCCCCTATTGCAAAAACTTCTCCAAAAACAAAAATGTAAATTATGTAATATTCAAAGCTAGACCTTTCTCGTTTTTAGGTGCATATGTAATTTTTTTTACTAATTTTATATTATAATTTCTTGTTTATATTTAATTGTCATATATATTTTATAGTGTACAATAGAGTTTTTCAAAGTATGCATATTTCAAGAAGCTTATAAATTGAAATTATTTTTCTTTCTCCTTCCCTACCTCCCTTTTTCCTTTTCTTCCTCTTCTACCTCCCTTCTTTACTCTTCTTCTGATAAAATTCCCATTTTATTTGACATTCTTATGATTCTTTTTTAGAGATTTTTGATATAGGGTACATGTGCTCACTGGAGAGACAAAACATGAGAAATCACCCCTTAGGAGGGATGGTCATCCCACAATCCCTTCTTTTCCATTCTCCTCTTGGGATCTTGGAACACACTCACACGTGCCCAGTGTGAGTTTTAAACCACTGAGTCCAGGACTTGAGCCACAGTCAATTTCATGGGAGTCCAGTGATGTACCATTACACTATCTGCTGGTTCTTTTTTTTTATTATTCTTAATATATATACTAACACCTCTAATTCAAACTACAGATGGGCCAAAATAGAGCAATAACAACATAGCGACTCTCAACAATAAAAATAACGATGCCCTTAAAAAATATTCATGTTATTGGGACCAGCAGTTGGCATAATGGCTATGTCGTAGGACTCCCATGTAGTTGACTGCAGTTCAAATCCCGGACCCAGTGGCTTAAACTCATGCCAGGTGTGTGTGCATGCATGCTCAAGATCCCGAGAGGAGAATGGAGGAGAAAGGATTGCAGTGTGGACATCACCCCTGGGGAGTGATTTCTTGCTTTCTGTCTCTCTGTCTCTGTCTGTCTGGCAAGCACATGCTCCCTATAGCCAAAACCTCTCCAAAAAAACATTTGATATTTTTCTTGGGTAGAATGTAAATATTTTCTCCAGCTATAACTCCATTCTCAAACACAATAAATAATTTATTAGATGATTCATATGAGGACTTGGTGTTGTCCAAAACATTAGGATAATAGGAAGACATTATGATTGATGGGAGTCTGTGTGGTTAGGACAGTACTGGAATCTCAAAGAAATTCATGAATAAAGAGTTGCAGAGGGAAAACCCCCTCGAATGTTCATTGTGAAGATGGCTGGTTTTTCTGAGCTTGAGTCCTTGTGGTACTATCCTCTGTCAGTGTCACAGAATGACCTGCCTTCTAGGTCCCCAAGTCCTGTTTGTTACACAGTTGTTCTCTTGGTCCAGATTGATTGAGGAATATAATTATGTCTCACAGTTTTATTCCGATGTTCTTAAATTCTAGAGGAAATAATCAGAAATCTGTGGTTATGTGACGTCATGGCATGGTGTGTGTACTTGAATCATCTGGCCAGCCACGTGGGGTCCAGTCACCTCAGCCACAACGCCACTGCCTGGTCCCATAGGTTCAGGTTTCTATGCTATAAACTTGATGTTCAGTAAATACCTATTTTCCCATCTTTTATTTTGATAGATAGGTATAGATTAGATATAAATTAGCTTTCTGCCAGGCCACAGGTGGGTCTCCTACATAGTGACAAAAGTCACCTTTTTCGGGGAACCAGCAGTTAGCGTAATGGCTATGTTGCTGGACTCCCACATAGTCGACCACGGTTCGTGTCCCGGACCCGGTGGCTTAAAACTCATGCCGGGCGCGTGTGCGTGCGTGCCCAAGATCCCGAGAGGAGAATGGAGGAGAGGGGATTGCGGCATGACCATCCCCCCTGGGGGGTGATTTCTCGCTTTCTGTCTCTATGTCTCTCTCTGTCTGTCTGGCGAGCGCACGCGCCCTACAGTGAAAATCTCTCTCAAAAAAAAAAAAAAAAAGTCACCTTTTTCCAACAGTTAGATGTGTCAGTTAGAAACTCCATCTCCAGCTCCCGTCACTCCTTCACATGACTGCAATCCCAGCTAAAAGGCTTACAAAAACTCGGTAGAGATGCTAAGCCAGAAATATACACACACACACTATATTCTCTTCCATACTACATAATAGGGGAAGGTCACTAGGCTATGTGGTAACATTTATTAGTTACTGTGGACTGAGCTCTATAGAAGGGCTATTAAGATCATTCCTCAGAATTCTCAGTGGCTTTAAGCATTTAGTTTTTCCCTTACTGGTGATGTACCTTGAACCTTGATAATTATGTGGCAAATTATCAGACTATTGGGATTATTTCAAAGCAATAACAGGGAAATTCAAACTCAATCTGGCCTAAATGTGAAAACACATTTGGCAGCACCCAGTCATTCCCACTTCCCATATGGACAGCCACGTTGTGTCTGGTCTCATGTCGTACCAACGACAGCTGTTACCTGAGTCCACAGAATACCTCGGAAGTGATGGTTTGCCACTCTTAAGACTAGGCTATAAAATGCATTGATGGGCTTCTTTCTGACTTTCTCTCTTTCTCTCTGGAAATAGTTGCTGTGGGTGAAACTTTCTGCCAGGCCACAGGTGGCTCTCCTACATGGTGACAAATTCACCTTTTTCCAACAGTTAGGTGTGTCAGTTAGAAACTCCATCTCCAGCTCCCGTCACTCCTTCAGATGACTGCAGTCCAAGCTAAAGGCCTTGCGGAAACTCACGAGAGATGCTAAGCCAGAAATACCCTTCATCGTCGGACCATCAGAAACTGTGCAAAAGAATGTAATGAGATTAGTGGTGCCTCACAAAAGATACATTCCTAGAAACTATAAAAATGTCAGTATTTGGAGAAATGGCCTTGGGAAATACTGAGATGAGGTCACTCTGGCCCTTTGATTCAATAACAAGCAATGCCTTCTAAGTTGAGAGAGGAAGAAGGAAGAAAGCCGTGCTTAGAATGCAGCGATGGGAAGATGGGTGGTGTCTTTCTGATCAGAACGATGAGTCTACAAGCCAGAGAGCATCAAGTACTGCCAAAAGCACTAGAAGCTCGAAATGAGGCATGGAATTGACGCTTCCTCAGAGCTACCAGAAAGAAACCACCCTGCCGACGCTGGACCTCTGTAACTGCGAGAGCTTCAATCGCTTTGTCGTCTTACACCTCATGGTGATAATTCATCATGGCCGTCCTAGGAAACTGACGCAGATTATGACTGATTCTTGTCTTCAGCTAGTAGAATATGGTGTAACTTGTCATTCAGAAATAGGTGCCTAATGCAAATCCAGGGCTATAGAAACAAATGCCTTAAAGCGAGGCGATGCAGGAAGTAGGCACTGGAGCAAGAGCTGGGTCAACGAGTGTGAACGAAAAACTAAGTTTGCTGTGAACAGACCATTAGAAAAATTTTAGATTTTGAAAAGAGAGCCAGTAAAAACTTAAAGAATGAGAGGAAATCCTTGGGAAATGAAAGAGAGGAAATTTCTTTTATGTGGTAGCACAAAAGGTAGCAAAACCCTTGCCTGCAATAATGGAGAAAGTAGAAACCAATCTAGTGCTTTTGAGTGCTCTAACGGAGGACATTCCTGGCTAGAGTGCTAAACGCACGGCCTACTTTCTTCATGGTGTTTACACTACAATTTCAGAGTAGAGAGAAAATCTAAAAGATCTCTTTAGATATGAAGGAACTAGAAATTATGTTTAAGAAGCATTAGCATCATCAGAAAGCAAACAATGTTAAAATTGAGAATTATCTTTTGAGCAAAGATCAAATCTAGGGTTCTATTTGAAAAGTATGGTCTAAATATAACATCAAGAGCATGACTAAAAATTCTTTGTTAGTCCTTTAGGATAATAAACAGCGATAGGGACCAGTAGTTAGCTTAATGGCTATGTTGCTGGACTCCGATGTAGTTGACCATGGTTTATCCCGGACCTGGTGGCTTAAACTCAACACCAGGTGTGTGTGCATGAGTGCCCAAGATCCCAAGAGGAGAATGGAGGGAATGGATGAGAAGGGATTGTGGTGTGGCCCCCCCCCCGGGGGGGGTGATTTGTCTCTTTCTATATCTCTGTCTCTCTCTGTCTTTCTGATGAGCACACGCACCCTATAGCAAAAACCTCTCAAAAAAATAAATAAATAAATAAAAATAAACAGTGATATTCCAGAGTATTGTTCAGTAGGAAAAAACTCCCTGTAAAGAATTCAAGAGAATAACTCACAGACATTCCCCATAAAACTGTAGAGTTTGTGAAAAGATTAAGGAGATCATCTTCAGGAGAAGCTCAAGGTAGAGAAGGGTTTAACAAAAAAGATTTGTGGGAGTTTTTGTTTATAGATCCAAATTGATTTATCTATAGGTTGGTGCAGACTATACAGGGTTAAACTTGGAGTTGAAACTGTAATGAGATGAGACTTTTGATGCCTTGAGGAGGGTGAGAGCCTGTGGCCTGTGGGGGACAGGCTTAAATGAATGTGGTAGCCAGCCTCCAAAAGGGCCCGAGTCATCTCCTTTCCACCTTAGCGTGTTTTCCGTGTGGCCAATCGAGTACAGCAGAAGCGATGCAACACCCTTGCTGAGATTAGTTTATGGAAGAGACGGCTCCTTTAATGGCCAACATGGCTCTTACTCTCTCCTTGTGGTCACTCACTTTGGGTAGCCAGCCACTACGTTGTGAGAAGCCCTCCAGAAAGAGTCACGCAGAGACAACCTGAGGCCTCTTGTAAATAACCACGAGTGTGAAGCAGAAGCAGGTACTCCAGACCCAGACTCACCTCAGGTCATGTCAGTCCTGCTAACAGCTGACTGTCGCCTCAGGTCCTAAGCCTCACCACCCAGGTAGGCCGTACCCAGTGTCCCAGCCTTTGAAACTATGAGATCGGCTACTAAGATTTAGGGTACTGTGTTATGCAGAAGTGAAAATTATACAGTGGGAAAACACCCAGTCCTAAGATTAGCAGTAGGTAAGAGGGAAAAAAATCTCCCTGGACCAGATCCAGAGAAAGGGCGCATTTCTGTCAGCCCTCAAGGTCACTCAGCATTCCTTTAGTGCCTGTCCATTCTCAGCAAAGCTCCAGCCACTTAATTCTAAAACACAAACACCTCACCATGCCTTTGTAAGTTCAAGACCGGGAGCACGTGCCTGACGCGGCCTTCCATTCTCCCCCCTTCTAAGTTTCCTCCATCTCCTTCACTCCCTTCTTCCTTTATTTTTATCCTTCCATTTTTTCTTTCCGTACTGTTTTTCTTTCTTTTTTTGCGGGGGGGGGGGGGGGGGGGGTTTTTTTTTTTTTGAGAGTTTTTTTGCTGTAGGGCTCGTACACTTCCAGAGAGACAGAGAAACAGAAATCACCCCCTGGGGGGATGGCCACGCCACCATCCCTTCTCCATTCTCTCTGGATCTTGGGCATGCATGCACATGCGCCTGGTGTGAGTTTAAGCTACTGGGTCCAGGATTCAAACCGTGGTCGACTACATGGTGCGGTCGACTACGTGAGAGTCCAGTGACATAGCCATTACGCTAACTGCTAGTTCCCTCTGTACTGTTTTTCTATCCTGTCTGTTTTTCTATCTTGATCAAATTCTAAGAACACAGTCTCACAGTAGGTGCTCAGTTCCTAACTTCTCGTAGGAAGTCAACCCCGTTCCTCATGCTGACTATGAGGCATGCTCATTACCAGACAATGAGGCATGAATTCAAAAACCAAACAAAATATGACATCATTAAGAGCAATTGACTTACACTGACATGTAAGAACAGAGAGATGCTTAGACCATGATTTTCCTGTACAAATTGAACTTTTTTCACATTAACTTCCTTTACTATTACGGCAGTCAGATTAAAACAAATATCTGAAAGAGATCTGTGTGCCCTTCTGCTGGAGCAGTCATTTAGCCCTTTTTCATTTTGGCCTCGTTGTTTCAAATACATTTGGTGATGTGACATGAAGTCTGCTATATGTTGATAAACATAAACTGATTAACTGATTAAGAACTTCCGAAGGCTGTAGGGTATTGCAATTGACAATGCACAGCTGCTGAGGATCCCTGAGGAAAAAACGCGAATGGGTTTTGAATGTGATCCGGAACCACAATGCAGCACCTTGAGGAGCTGCTGGGAGATCCGTCCTCTCAGTCAATAGAACTCTTGTAACATTCAGAGTGAATGGGGTTCTTTAAAAGCAGGATTAGAATGACCAGTCACAGAAGCCCTTTCACTATCAAAGCTTCTTTCAAAATAAATCATAGTATCCTGGTTTCGAGGACAGATGATGTGACCCAGGCATATCTCCAAACATCTGTGGACTGCACACGTATGTTTACATACACATGAATGGATACTTAAACATACACACATATGAATCTATTTAGATCTCTCTATTCTATAAAAGTAATTAGATATATACATAATAAAAGATCTGTT